GGATTTGGTTTAGATTATACCTGAGTAGTTTTTCCTACTTTCTTTAGTTTCAGCTTGAGCTTTGCTATAAGAAGCTGATGATCAGAGCCACAATCAGCTCCAGGTCTTGTTTTTGCTGACTATATTGTTGTACATCTTCATAGAATTGGTCAATTGGTCATATAAATTCAAATTTAAATAAATAAAATAGATCAAAGCAATCTGTATGCTCAACCTTTATCATGGATTTCCTCTGCTACAGGACCTACGAGGCAGTGTTAAGAGGATCTGCTACTTTCTTGGCAAAGAACTGGACAGTCACCAGCTGGATGAGGTGGTGAAATATGCCTCCTTCCAAATCATGAAGGACAACAAAATGTCCAACTTCTCTCAAATACCAGAAGAATATATGAATCACAAGAAGGGGAAATTCATGAGGAAAGGTAAAAGCAGAGCTGAAGAGAAATGGCATGGGTGTCTCTGATTCCTAAATAAAAGATGAATTAGAATTCATATATTCTAATCTTATATCACGACTTTTACTAGATGCCAAACTGAATCATAGAATTGTAGAATAATTGAGTTGGAAGGGGCCTGTAAAGCCATTGAGTGCAACCCTATTGTGCTTAGACACTGATCTGTGAACATTGTTATTGAGACCATAGGTCAACCATGTTAAATACAATAAACTAAAATGCAGTAACAAATCATATAGCATTTACAAGTGATACAAGGCAGACTGAAATTCAAATTGCAGTTGTTTAAGTTTCTAAATTGATGAGTGCAGTGATTTTATCATCTGTTTTCTTATTATAAAAGCCACTGTACAGAATTTTGTAACAGGTGTAATTTCACTTGAGGAATAGGACATGAGAAAAGACATACAAATTTTATCAGATTTACCTGGATGATGTACCAAAAGTGTGGGAATCTTTATAAAATGTGCACTGCAGCAGGACATGTTTCACTGTTTCCAGCACACCAGATTTGCAAGGGCAATGGTCTTGATTATAAGGGATATGTGAGTATCTTCTGTCCAGAACACCTGAAGGCAGAGCATCAAAATGGGCCACGGTGAAAGTTTTCCAGTGTCTTTGAAATTCCTAGTTGTAAACTTTAACATTTAACATACTAACTGAGACCTGTAGAGTCTGAGATGTAACTCTTGGGGGTTTTGCAATTTCTCTGAGCATTGCACAGTCTGATCTTGGGGTGAGCTGTAAAGATAATCTGTTGGGATGAAGATCATGTTATGATTTCCAGCCACTGAATAATTCTATTGAATTGAATAGCTGTATCCCAGATTCCTAACG